ATCACAGGCTCCTTCAGTCCTAGTCCAGCTGGCCTTGGTGCGCTCTCTTTCGATCAGTGGGTGAACGCACCCTTCGCGGTCCTGACTTCCTTTTTCATGTTCTCCCTCCTACTGCTCTTCATTTGGACCTTGGGGGCTCAGTCCAGTGCTCCAATGGGGGTCTCCGTCTCTATCTCCATCCATCGTCGGATGAAGGCTCCATCCGGTTCTGCTTTCCTTGCTCACGATCTCCCTCCCTCTGCTTCTCATTTGGACTTGGGAGTTAAGTCCAGTGTTCCAATATGTGTCTCTGTCTCTATCTCCATCCTTCGCCATATGAAGGTTCTGTGGTGACATGCAAAATATTCATCAGTATGGTTATGAACCCAGGCCAGTTCAGGTACTCTCTCCTCTGCTGCCCAGGGAACAATCTGGGGACCTCTTCTTGGGTCTGGGAACCCCTCCAGCATCAAGTCTCTTGCAAACCCTAAAATGGCTCCCTCAGTTGAGGTATAAACTTCCCTGGTCCCATAGCCATCCTTCCTCCCTCCCCCTCCCATTCCCCCAAGCCATCCCCAATCCTCCCCATCTCCCCTCTCCATAACCATCTCCACTTACTTCCACCCCCCGCCCCTGTGCACCCAAGTTTGCCTGGCAATCTTGTCTACTTCTAATATCCAGGAGGATAACTATATGATTTTCTTCAGGTTCACCTTCTTATTTAGCTTCTCTAGGATCACGAATTACAGGCTCAAAGACCTTTAAATATGGCTAGAATCCACTTATGAGTGAGTACATACCATATTCCTCTTTTTGGGTCTGGGTTACCTCACTCAGTAAAGCGTTTTCTATTTCCATCCATTTGCATGCAAAATTCAAGATGTCATTGTTTTTTCCCGCTGAGTAAAACTCTAATGTGTATATGTTCCACACCTTTTTTAACCATTCTTCTATTGAGGGGCACCTAGGTTGTTGCCATGTTCTGGCTATTACAAATAGTGCATCTATGAACATAGTTGAACAAATGCTTTTGTAGTATGATAGGGCATCTCTTGGGTATATTCCCAAGAGTGGAATTGCTGGGTCCTGAGAGAGGTTGACTCCCAGTTTCCTGAGAAACCGCCACACTGATTTCCAAAGTGTCTGCACAAGTTTGCATTCCCATCAACAATGGATGAGTGTTCCCCTCCCTCCACATCCTCTCCAGCATAGGCTATCATTGGTGTTTTTGAGTTTAGCTATTCTGACAGGTGAAAGATGGTATCTCAAAGTTGTTTTGATTTGCATTTCCCTGATCGCTAAGGAGGTTGAGCATGACCTTAAGTGTCTTTTGGCCATTTGAAGTTCATCTGTTGTGAATTCTCTGTTCAGTTCAGTACCCCATGTTTTAATTGGGTTAATTAGAGTTTTAGTGTCTAGCTTCTTTAGTTCTTTGTATATTTTGGAGATCAGACCTTTGTCTGATGAGGGGTTGGTGAAGATCTTATCCCAGTCGGTAGGTAGCCTTTTTGTCTTAGTGACAGTGTCCTTTGCTTTACAGAAGCTTCTCAGTTTCAGCAGGTCCCATTTATTCATTGTTTCTCTTATTGTCTGTGCTACTGGGGTTCTACTTAGGAAGTGGCCTCCTGTGCCTATATCTTGTAGACTACTTCCCACTTTCTCTTCTATCAGGTTCAAAGTGGATAGATTAATATTGATGTCTTTAATCCATTTGGACTTGAGTTTTGAGCATGGTGATAGATATGGATCTACTTTCATTCTTCTACAGGTTGACATCCAGTTATGCCAGCACCATTTGTTGAAGATGCTTTCCTTCTTCCATTGTATACCTCTAGCTCCCTTTTCGAAAATTAGGTGTTCATAGGTTTGTGGGTTAATATCCGGGTCTTCTATTCAATTCCATAGGTCGACTTCTCTGTTCTTATGCCAATACCAAGCTGTTTTCAATACTGTAGCTCTGTAATAGAGTTTGAAGTCAGGAATGGTAATGCCTCCAGAAGTTCCTTTATTGCATAAGATTGTTTTGGCTAGCGTGGGTTTTTTGTTTGCCATATAAACTTGATTATTGTTCTCTCAAGGTCTGTGAAGAAGTTTGATGGGATTTTGATGGGGATTGCATTGAATCTATAGATTGCTTTTGGTAGAATTGCCATTTTTACTATGTTGATTCTCCCAATCCAAGAGCAGGGGAGGTCTTTCCATTTTCTGGTATCCTCCTCAATTTCATTCTTCAAAGACTTAATGTTCTTGTCAAATAGGTCTTTCAGTTCCTTGGTTAGAGTTACCCCAAGATATTTTATGCTATTTGTGGCTATCGTGAAAGGTGATGTTTCTCTGATTTCCCTCTCTGCTTCTTTATCCTTTGTGTATAGGAGGGCAACTGATTTTTTGGAGTTGATCTTGTATCCTGCCACATTACTAAAGGTGTTTATCAGCTGTAGGAGTTCTTTGGTAGAGTTTTTGGGGTCGCTTATGTACACTATCATATCATCTGCAAATAACGAAAGTTTGACTTCATCCTTTCCAATTCGAATCCCCTTGATCCCCTTATGTTGTCTTATTGCTATTGCTAGAACTTCAAGCACTATATTGAAGAGGTATGGAGAGAGTGGACAGCCTTGTCGTGTTCCTGATTTTAGTGGAAAGGCTTTGAGTTTCTCTCCATTCAATTTGATGTTAGCTGTCGGCTTGCTGTATATTGCTTTTATTATATTTAGGAATAATCCTTGTATCCCCAGTCTCTCCAACACCTTTATCATAAATGGGTGTTGAATTTTGTCAAACGCTTTTTCAGCATCCAGTGAAATGATCATATGGTTTTTTTCTTTCATTTTTTTTATATGATGGATTACATTGATAGATTTGTGTATGTTGAACCAGCCCTGCATCTCTGGGATGAAGCCTACTTGATCATAATGGATAATTTTTCTAATGTGTTCTTGGATTCGGTTTGCCATTATTTTATTGAGAATTTTCGCGTCGATGTTCATGAGTGAGATTGGCCTGTAATTCTCTTTCTTGGTTGTGTCTTTGTGTGGTTTTGGTATTAGGGTAACTGTAGCTTCATAAAAGGAGTTTGGCAGTGACTCTTCTGTTTCTATATTGTGGAATACATTAAGGAGTATAGGTATTAGCTCTTCCTGGAAGTTCTGGTAGAATTCTGCATTGAAACCATCTGGTCCTGGGCTATGCAATAGTTTTTTAAAGATAAATTAGAACTTTAGTATCACAGAATCATCTTCTCAATGAAAATGGCCTCTCATTGTGTAAAACAGTTGAGTCCTTCAGCAAGCCTAAAAGAAAATATGGATTGGGATGTTCCTTGAAATAATTCTGGGAATGTCTTGCCTCCTAATTCTTTCTCAATAGACTCTATACTCCAAAAGAGCAACATACTAGCTTGACAACCAAATGCTCCCCACAAAAGGTCACAGAATTTTATAATAGAATCTTCACACTGCACACTCATGTCTTTGGAGAAGTTCCTTGTTTCATCAAAAAATCACGAAAGGACAGGAAGTAAGTTGTGACCTGGTTACGGACAGCAGATTTTTGCAGCACATCTTTCTTCTGCAAGGTGTTTCTCTGTAAGGACACCTGGGAAGGCCATTGCATAAAACCGTAAAGTCAAAGCCTAAGTTGCAATGGAGATTCAGGATGGTGGAGATTCAGAATGATGGAGATGCATTCAGCATTGGACAACCAAAGTGGTACTCATCACTGGGAGAAGCTAATTTTCCTTTTTCCAAAAGTCATTAGTTGTCTGTAGGTCTTTATCTTAGGGGCAGGGACCCATGAATTTTCCCCCTTCTATGTTAATACGTCCACTGATATTGTCATTGCTCTGGTCTGTTTATGCAGCCATTTCTAGAAGAGACTGTTTCACAGCAGACTTCCTGGTATTCTAATTATCACAATTTTTCTGCCCCATCTTCCTTGATGTTCTCTGAGTCATAGATGCAGGTGCAGTGATGTAAATGTAAGCACTGGGGCTGGGCTTCCTATCATCTGTTGCTATCTATATTACATCCAGTTGTGGTTGTCTGTGATGGTCTCCATTTGCTTTAAAAAGAGGCTTTTTTGATGAGAGGTTGTAGCTGCATTTGTCTGTGGGCATAGGGATGAGATTTCAAATGTGAAGAATTCTGCTGGTTTAGCAAAGTGGTGGTAGGAGAGTCTTTTCCAAGGTCCATGACCTCACTAGCCCTATGAAGTTGGCTAGGTTTCCAGTACCATGAAGTATTTCCCTTCTGTTGAGTGGCCCGTAAGTCAACAAGAGAACTGTTGGTTGCCACAGGAAGTGAGTGCCACTCATTGCATCTTTATGCTGACCTTGTCATGCTGGTAATTGTCATGATTCAGGAGTGTTGCAGCTGGCTTGGGGGTATTTAATTACTCCCCTCCCTTGGCACCTTGCACTGTATTTTTTTCCTGGAACCACGAAAGCTAGACTACAGGAAAGAGGCTTTCAAGTCACATCCAGCTCAAATCATCTTAGTCATGTGCCCTCAGTGTGAGGGACCCACCCTCAACTCCTGAGAGGCAAGGGTTTGCCTATAATATATATTTTTGGGAGGTCACTTGGACTTATCTGAACAACCATTTAAAACTAGGCTTCTGGTGCCCACTCCTGGGATTGTGCTAATCTATCATTCTTGTGGGGAGCATTGCCAGCCCAATTGGCTCAACTTCCCTTAATACATACACACACACATACATGCACTCACACATGTACACATGCACATGCACACATATACATTTATGTGTATTGCGTATGATTTTATGTAAATATAACATAATATTGAATACACATTTTCATAGAAACATTCTTTGAGATATAGATCAAGACAGAAACAATCTGAAATTCCATCAAAGAGACTGTGATAAATAAAGCATGTTTTTTTTTGGCTACACTATATAGAATAGGGTGGAGGGGACTGCTGGTGGGACACTCCCTTCCTTGTCACAGTGGAATCTATGGATTCACTCCAAATCTCCTAGCAACTGAGTAGCCTCAACGAAACAAATCCCTGAGGCTGATGTCGTGGCCACAGACAGGAACATGGGAGACCACAGACTGCCTGGGAACCAGGCCCGGCGGACACTAAAGTCAACATCTCAGGACACGACCAGCAAGTCTGTGTGGAAAGACTCTTCCAAATATTTCTTAAAGCACAAGAAAGATCAGCTGAGGTTGCCCACCTCCGTGGAGGGCCAGCACCGCCTATATGTTAAGGAACGGCCAGATGATTTCAGGAAAGTCGGGACACCAAGTGAAGCGCTGACCCCACGCAGCATGGAGGGTTCCTTTTTCCCTACGATTTCTCGCGGAATGCGCAGTCCGGTCGCCAACAAGAACCAGAGAAAGCTGATTGAGGACTCAGGGCTGTATCAACCACTTTTGCCAGTTCAGCAAACACGTAGAACCTTCTGGGACGACATAGGCTTCCGCCAGAATCAGAATCTGTTGTCTCCCTGGCCTCGAGGAGAAGAGAATTCTGCAGACATATTAATCAAAATGCTGGAAACACCGAAACCTAACCGGATGCTGGAGAACAAGTGGTTGTATTGGGAAGATCACAGGGAAGCAACCAAGCAGCCCACCAACTATGGCAAACAGTCTCAAGGAAAATTAGATCTGGACCCTCACAAGCTTCCGTGGTCCTGTGAAGGCAGACACAGGAGACAAGATATGCTTAGCTCTATTTATTATAAATACATATACAAAGGAGGGGATGACATCTGTGACTGTGCTGAACCTTGGCGAGAGCCCATTCAACAAATTGACACGGGCTATAAAAACCAACCAAGCTATGAAGAGTCACCTGTCAAGAAAACTGATCTGCCTACATTTGATATCAGGTATGGCAAGAAAACGAGTAAAGTGAAGGACACCAGATTCTCCAAACAAGACTCCAACTTTGTTATAAAACTCCAAAACCCACAAGATCCTCATAAAACCAGCAAGGAGACTAGGTATGAATCACCATACTTGAGAAATAACCAGTTTGAAATACTAGAAAATGAAGACCTTATAACAGATTCCAATGAACTTGAACTTCAAGTTGAAAACCTTGGTAATTCAGAAAATGCTAAAGAAGCTTATGATCCAACTGACTGGAAATACTTCATAAGCAAGGAGGACACTGCACTCAGCAGCCTTGAGCTGCTGTATATGAAGGGATGGGGTAATGAAAGGTCTACTCCTACATCAGAAATGTTTAAAAATTATTATTGGATCATGGATACAGATAATGATGATGACGACGACGATGATGATGAGGAAGAACATAAAGAAGAGGAAAAAGTGAAGGAAAAGAAAGAAAATAACTAGATGACTTTCTAATTAGGACTTATTTGGCTATATCTAGTGACCATTTACACATCAATCAAATTATACATCATGAAATAATTTTCATTGAGCATCTGCCTTAACATCTGCCATAACACGAATATGTTAGATACTTTATCAACTATGGGATAAACATTCACATGTACTTTTTCCACATTTTTTGTAGCATTGGAGATATTACATCATTACATGAATCATTTATAAGAATGCATAAATTAGTTTAAAGAAGATCCAGTGATGACACTAATTATGTGAGAAGAATCTCAAAACACACAATTGCACAGAAGAAAATGAAACTTCTACAGCTATCTGTGGATTAAAATGTAATGAAATAACTAGCAATTATTCTGTCAACCAAAACTTGAAATTGATAGCCAAATAAACGTGAATTCATCTTCTGTGATAGTAATGTTACTAATAATTTTAGTTTCAAATTCATTTTAGTGTTCATAACAATTTCAACTTGTTTCTGTACAGAACATTCACAAAGCAATGGATATTTTCATTTATTCTCTTTGTACATGTTCTGTGAGAAAAGTAAAGATTTAATATTTTCACAATTAAATCCTTATCATATGGGATTTGTAAATATTGTAATCTCATAGCACCTTTTATTATTTTGTTTCGTTTTCCTGCAGAAAATGTTGTCGTCTCTCACTTCTCTTTCTTTTGCTTTTGCAGTCTAAGCTTTTAATGTCATATCCAAAAAATTAATACTAATGCAAATATCCAAGTGATTTTTCCCATGTTATTTTCTTTCTAATAGTGATATTATGGTGTCAGATACTACATTTAAGTATTTAGTCCATTTTGGATTCATTATTTTTATTTATTGATTGATTTTTATTGAGCTCTACATTTTTCTCTGCTCCCCTCCCTGTCTCTCCCCTCCCCTTCAACTCTCTTCCAAGATCCCCATGCTTCCAATTTACTCTGGAGATCTTGTCTTTTTTACTTCCAATGTAGTTTAGATCTATGTATGTCATTCATGGTGTCCTCATTGTTGTCTAAGAGCTCTGGAATTGTGATTTGTGGAGTGATTTTCTTTGCTTTATGTTTAAAAAGCACTTATGAGTGAGTCCATGTGGTACTCGCCTTTCTGTGTTTGGGTTACCTCATTTAATATGATGTTTTCTAGATCCATCCATTTTCCTGAAAAATTCAAGATGTCATTTTTTTCTGCTATGTAGTACTCCATTGTGTAAATGTACCACATTTTCCTTATCCATTCTTCAGCCAAGGAGTATTTAGGTTGCTTCCAGGTTCTGACTATAACAAACAAAGCTGCTATGAACATAGTTGAGCACATGTCCTTGTGACACAATTGAGCATCCTTTGTATATATACCCAAAAGTGGTATTACTGGGTCTTGAGGAAGGTTGCTTCTTCATTTTCTGAAAAATCACCACACTGACATCCAAAGGGGCTGTGCCAGCTTGCATTCCCACCAGCCATGCAGAAGTGTTCCCTTTTCCCCACAACCTCTCCAGCATAAGTTGTCATCAGTGTTTTTGATCTTGGCCATTCTTACAGGTATAAGATAAAATCTCAGAGCTGTTTTGATTTGCATTTCTCTGATGACTAAGGATGTTGAGCATTTCCTTATGTGTCTTTCAGCCATTTTAGATTCCTATGTTGAGAGTTCTCTGTTTAGGTCTGTACTCCATTTTTATTGGATTATTTGTTCTTTTGATGACCAATTTCTTGAGTTCTTTGTATGTTTTGGAGATCAAACCTCTGTATGATGTGGAGTTAGTGAAGATATTTTTCCATTCTGTGGGCTGTCATTTTGTCTTGTTGACCACGTTCTTTACTCTACAAAACCTTTTCAGTTTCAGGAGGTCCCATTTACTAATTGTTTCTTTCAGTGTCTGTGCTGCTGGAGTTATATTTAGGAAGTGGTCTCCTGTATCAATGTGTTCAAGTATATTTCCTACTTTCTCTTCTATAATGTTCAGTGTGGCTGGCTTTATGTTGAGGTCTTTGATCCATTTGGACTTGAGTTTTGTGCATGGTAATAGATATAGGTCTATTTTCATTCTTCTACATGTTGATATCCAGTTATGCCAGCACCACTTGTTAAATATGCTTTCTTTTTTTCATTTGATATTTTTTACTTCTTTGTCAAAAATCAAGTATTTGAAGATGTGTGAAATACTTCTTCTACTAGGTCTTCTACTAGATTCTGTTGCTCCTTCTATCTGTTCTTATGCCAATACTAGGCTGTTTTCATTACTGTAGCTCTGTAGTAGAGTTTGAAGTCAGGGATTGTGATGCCTCTATAAGTTCTTTAATTGTACAGGATTGTTGTGGCTATCCTGGGTTTTTTGCTTTTCCATGTGAAGTTGAGTACTGTTCTTTGGAGGTCTATGAAGAATTTTCCTGGGCATTGCATTGAATTAGTAGATTTCTTTTTTGAGTTAATCTTGTATCCTGCTACATTACTGAAAATATTTATGAGTATTAGAAGTTTCTTGGTAGAATTTTTGGGATCAGTTATGTAAACTATCATATCATCAGCAAACACTCAGAGTTTGACTTCTTCTTTTCCAGTTTGTATCTGCTTGATCTGCTCTAGGTAGGACCTCAAAAATTATATTGAATAGATATGGAAAGAATGGACAACCTTTTCTTGTTCCTGATCTCAATAGGATCGCTGGGATTTTCTCTCCATTTAGTTTGATGTTGGCTATTGGCTTGCTGTATATTTCCTTTATTGTATTTAGGTATGTTCCTTGTATCCCTGTTCTCTCCAAGACCTTTATCATGAAGGGATGTTGTATTCTGTCGAAAGCATTTTTTGGCATCTAATGAGAGGATCGTGTGGTTTTTATTTTTCAGTTGGTTTATATGATGGATTATGTTGACAGATTTTCATATGTTGAACCATCCCTGCATCTCTGGGATGAAGCCAACTTGATCATGGTGGATAATGATTCTGATGTGTTCTTGGATTCAATTTGCCAGTATTTTACTTAGTATTTTTGCATCTTGTACAGGAGAATTGTTTGTATTCTGTCAATCATGTATTTTAATAAAACACTGATTGGCCAGGCAGGAAGTATAGGTGGGTCAACCAGACAGGAAGTAGAGTTGGGGAGATGAGTACAGGAGTATTCTAGGAAGCAGGAAGCTTCCTCCATTCCTGCCCAGATCACTGAAGAAGCAACATATGAGCTGACAGCTGGAAAAGGTACCAAGCCATGTGGCTAATGTAGATAAGGATAATGGGGTAACATAAGTTATAAGAGCTAATAAGTAGCCTGACCTAATGGGCCAGTCAGCTTTATAACTTATAGAGATCTCTGTGTGATTGATTTTCTCTGGGACTTGCTGGCTGTGGGGTACTGGGTGGGAACACATACCCCAACAAGCCGGCCCTCATGTTACATGCATCAGTGTTCATGAGTGAGATTGGTCTATAATTCTCCTTCTTGGTAATAATGTCTTTCTGTGGTTTGGGTATCAGGGTAATTGTAGCCTCATAAAAAGAGTTTGGCAATGTTCCTTCTGTTTCTATTGTATGGAATAATTTGAGGAGTATTGGTATTAGTTCTTCTTTGAAAGTCTTGTAGAATTCTGAGCTGAAATCATCTGGTCCTGGGCTTTTTTTTGTTGGGAGACTTTTTATGACTGTTTTTATTTCTTCAGAAGTTATAGGTCTATTTAATTTGCTTATCTGGTCTTGATTTAATTTTGGTAAGTGATATTTATCCAGAAAGTTGTCCATTTCCTTTAAGTTTTCCAATTTTGTGGAGTACATGTGCTACGGACCGACTCAGGGGAGCCACTCAGACCGTAAGGGAATCAGGGCAAAGGCACAGCAGAAATCAGGATACGACAAGGAAAGTGACACACAGACACTCTCAATGTTGAGACATGCTGTTGCGATTTACTTATTTCAATGCAGGATTATATATTATTACAAACAAAGAACTTGGCAAAGGCATACATCATCAGATCATAAAATAGAAAAGAACGGCATAAAACAGTTTTACAAAGAGAATCTTTAAAGATGCTTTGGCATGAGTACAAGGACTTTTGCTTCCTTACATTTGTAAAGTTACCCCTTCTTTTTTCTTGTTATTAGAGAGACCATTGTTCTTGAGTTAGCCCATCTTTATCAGCTTGTACCAGGTGGCTGGCTGGGCTCAGCTAAGTGACCTTGTGTGTCTGGGTGAGAAAGAAGAAGGCTACTATCTTCCTGGAAAAATGTTCTGAGACTAATTTTGTACCATTAATCTCAACTCCTTTCCCTTCCCAACTCTCAGGGTCAGATGTTGTAATTAGCCTAGGTTTTCTGGCCATAAGGAAGGTTGCATAGGCCTCCTGTTAAGTTGCACATAAATGCCTAATGCTGTTTTCCTGTAGAAGGCTTCTAAGGTTTTTCTGCTAAGATTAACTCCTTTTATTCCACATCATCAAGGAATTGTCCTAATGATGATTCTGGCAATTCCCAGAACTGGCTACATTTTTAAGGCTTTAATTAATAGTGGAGCAGAATTCAAAAATGTCCTTAGCAGTCTTGTTTGTATCCGCAACTGCCTAGAATAGTCTGATCTGTTAGCAATATGCAAAAATCACAAAGAACACACAGATAAGGGGAAAAGACAGACATATGGCTCCAAGGACAGCCAGGTCAAGTCAATACTAATGGCGACTCAGGTAGCATTACACCACAACTGATTGCCAAGGGACCGCCTGGAACACACAGCTCCGAGAAGCACAAATCCCACTCCTTCCGGCAATATTTGCCCATCCAGTCAGCATTTCTGCTACACTGGCGAGACAGCTGTGGATGCAGCATATATGTTTTTGAAATATGACCTGATGATTCTCTGTATTTCCTCCGTGTCTGTTGTTATGTCCCTCTTTTCATTTCCGATTTCGTTAATTTGGATATTCTCTCTCTGTATTTTCATTAGTTTGGATAATGGTTTGTATATTTTGTTGATTTTCTCAAAGAACCAACTCTTTTTCTCATGTCTTTCTTTGAGGTTGAGATGTGTTTCTTGTATGCAGAAGAAGGATGGATTCTGTTTTTGTATACAATCTGTTAGCCTGTGCCTTTTTATAGGTGAGTTGAGTCCATTTATATTAAGGGATATTAATGATCAGTGATTGCTATTTCCTGTTAATTTAGTTTTCATTGTTGGTGATGTTAATTTGTGCATTTTCCCTTCTTTGAGATTTGCTGCTATGAGACTATCAATTGTCTGTGTTTTTGTTGGTGTAGCCAACTTCCTTGGGCTGGAGTTTTCCTTCTAGTATTTTGTGTAGGGCTGGGTTTGTGACTAGGTATTGGATAAATCTGGTTTTGTATTGGAATATCTTGTTTGTCCTTCTATGGTGATTGAAAGTTTTGCTGGGTATAGTAGTCTGGGCTGGCATCCATGGTCTCTTAATGCCTGCATAACACTTGACCATGACCTACTGAC